ACAATCTCTAAATATTAATTCTGTACAAATAGAGGCAAAAAGGAAGTTCCAAGTAGAATTTCTTCTCAGGTCAAATATAACATTTGAAAAAAAAACCCCGAAATGTTGGCCATTAGAGGGAGCAAAGTTGCATAGGAAAGCCACGTGGCCATAAAGTGCTATTTTTCAAATGTTCTATATGACCAATAATGTTTATTTTGCCTCTGCACAGAACATTCAGAGATTTGAGGGGCAAATAGCTTTGCAAATTGTTAATGAATAGACCCCAAAGTGAATAGTGTACAGTTGAGGAAAATGTGCTAGGATTGTGAACAATATCTAACAGAGCACAAGGCGAATGAACAATGTGTGTTCTTAGGACTTGTCCGCACGCCACAGGGACTGGATCTGAGGTGTTCTATGTTTTCTTGCTACATTCAGTTCTGATGGTAGAATCCTCCAGAAGTGGAAGCAATATCCTTTTTATAGCTGTGTATACTGACCATTCAAATGAAATGAAGCAGAATACACTACAGAGGTTACAATCAACTGTAATAGCGCAACCAGTTTTAGAATGGCAGAGAAAAGTGCAGGATTTGTTAACCAGTAGGTGCAGCAGAATGGCGTACCATTTCAGTATTTTTAGAATGATTTTGCAACAGGTTAACATTACATGCAGGGCACAAAGTACAAGTTATATGGTCCGAGTTGTACCTACTAATATAAAACAGCAGACTGCTTGTACTTCTGTAACTTACTACAAGCAATGCATAACAGAGCATGGCTAGCTACCATCCCAAGCCCAAACTAAATGTGCCAGATTGCATCAAGAACATGGGCAGTAAATGTTACCTGTGCCTTCTGTATCCACACGAATGCCAACCACACGTATATATGAACTTCGAATACCCACACCCACTCTGTCACGGCCTTTGGTAGAGGTTTTGCCACTTTTACGAATTGAGTAAATACCCATAATGGTCACTCTGTTGCCAGGGACAACCTTATCACAAAGGTACCTAAGGGGGAAACAAATGAACACGTCTAAGAAATACAATAGAAATGAACGCATGGCATTCAAGTCACAAAATCCTCTCAGACTGCACAATGACCTGCAAGTGTGGGGGGCGCGCTTACCTGTCACAGTACAACTGCATATGACGTGGCATTTCTCCATGAGGTACAGCATCTGGAGACTCCTGAAGTTTCAGTGTCTGGAAATCCACACATTTGCATTTATCTGGTATGATGAAATATGGGTCAAGGGGACACTTGGGGCGACCAGCTTGTTCCCTATACAAAATAAAGACAGAAAGAAATACATTTCATATAGTGCCTTCATGCTCCTGTGACAGATTTTGTAATCCCCATATAAAAACATTCTGTAGATGCCGTAAATTTAAAATCAGATGACAGACACCAACAAGATAGGCCTTAAAGATGTCCTTTAGTTTCAACTTTGTTCTTTAAGTTGGTTTCACTTAAAGGAAGTGTTTTTCCCCATAGTCCCACTTGCCGATCTATTGAGCCAACGTGTGACAGTGTCATTGTCTCACGTCGGCTCGAACTATGAGGCTGAGTGAAAATCCCTCACCTCATAGTTCTCCTTTAAAAATTTCAAATGTGCCCAAGAAAGAAACTAATTTGTATTACGCAGTAAAACCCTGAACAGTAGAATCTTATATGGGATGCATCTGTCCTCCATTAATTATGAGGTTGAGGCCAGTGACCGCTACTACAGTGGTACATTATACATGGCTCCAACATATTCCACAGCGCTGTAGAATCGTTTAGACAAGAAACACTGACACGCATCCGACACAGAACCAATAGGTGACGGTGCCCTGCCCAAACCACCTGTGAAACAAGTACCATGCTAGCCTAAGTTTTCTTGCGGTTGATTTTGCCAACACCATCCTCTTCTCTTAAACATTTACAATTCATTGGGTTGCTTTTTTTTCAGTGGTGTTATACCAACAAGGTTTATTGTACAGCTGGATCATAATCTTCATAAGGTGTTCTTAAACCATCACGCCATTCCAAACCTCTAGTGTTTATACGAGAAGTAAGACACATTACAGTGTAATGTCCACATCACACTGTCCACATCCTAGATGGATTCTTTATAAACTTTCCTGATTTACTGGACAACCAAGTTAAGGATGAACCGGAACAAGGATGTAGAACTAATAAGCTAAACATCAGCAGGCGAGTTTTGAAGCAGCAAGGTAACATCTGTGCCGTGTACTGTGACTGCAATGACTAGATAACTAACCCTAAAATTGACACAAGCGGGGAAATCATAGGCAAGCAGGGGAGTAGCTACCATGGGGCGAGAGAGGCACACTCCTCAGGTGCAGCCAGGGCCGGCCTGGCTGTGCCCCCTCACCCCTGTTGCCATGACGAGCACAGAAGCTGCAGAAAAAAAAAAAGATTGAGGACTGTGTCCTGAATTCCTTTTTCTATTTCAAAAAGGGAAAATGTCAGGGGTTTGTTAGAACTAAAGTGACTTGGAGAAGCTACAAAACCTCTTCAACATTTCAGGACAGGTCCAGTTGAATGCGACTAACCACCATCAGCTATACCATGATCTGGAATAATGAGAACCGTCAGATGTTGGTGAACAAATCTGTTAAAGCCACTATTCTTTGCATGGCAACTAAATGTTCCCATCACTGATTATAATACAGTAGTTTGAAGCATAAAATAATGTCTAGAAATAAGGAATAGAAACATTAAATACAAACTATAATCTTTTATATGCCATCCACAAATCTGAGTGCATGATAGCTAAATAGTCAATGTGCTGACTGGTAGGATGTGAAGGAACTCACGTCAGTGTACATACTAGCATTTCCGTATCCTCTGCATCACCCAAATGACACCCCTCCTACACATTCCCATTGGCAAGTGAGACAGCTAAGCATTGAACTAGACCAATAGGAATGCTACTGCACTTAATATCTATTAGCATTCTTAAATTAACAATTACTTTAAATAAAAACTTAAAAAACACAATGACAAAGTAGATTAGTATATGCTACTGGAGAGAGGACATTTTCTCACTACATAATTAAGAGGCCCAATGCATGTTTTATAAACAATGATGCTTGTATTTTAGTCTTTTCAACTTACGTGTTGCACTTGCGAGGCATGGCGTACCCCTCCAAGCCAGGTCTCACAGGTATATTGCCAATTGTATTTCGGCAACTTCGGCACTGGATGGAGATTTTGGTGGCCTTTGCTCTCACTGCTGTTGCAGCAATTATAATGCCGGGGATCTTCACAAGATGAGACATCTGCTCTGACTACAACATGGAGGGGGAAAAATAAAAAATTATTCATGGTGTTGTGGAAATTTTATTAGGATGTATTGTAATATTGTCATCATGTCTCCCTGTGTTGGATTCAACCCAGGGACGCTCTAGCAGAGCGTACGTGGGTTAATCGGGACCAGCGGCAAAATGGTCAGTATGAAAACCTTCTTATGGGCTTGGAGACGTGTTTGCAGTGTGTGGGGGCGTTTGCCGGTTTGTGAGCATTAAGTGCAATGCGCTGGGTTTCTTGCCTTGAAACGTCTACACACATTAGCGAAGCAGAGTCTGAATAATGAGATACATATTATATTTCTGTTATGGCTGCGCTATCCCTTTTTGGATACATATCTGCTTTTCGGGAAGACATTGATATCTGCCTCGTTGGTGTACTGGTACCGTACATGGATAGCATTAGCAATGTCCCCGCAGATAGTCTCAGACATATAAGAACAAATAGAATTATCTTGATACTGGTCACTCTGAGCCGTATTGAAATAGGTTCATGCTGGCCAAAATGGCGGCTGTGCACACATGTGACACAGATGAGCCATGCTCTGCTCCATGTGGGTGTGCTCTCCTCTTGTCACTTCCTGTGATGTCATTGTGCATGCAGGAAATTGTAGGCTGTTGGCACCGCCCTTTCCTGTTATTTTGATGCCGATTGGCTGACTGTTATGTTAATGTATGGAGGAAACGATTGACTGTTGGGGCAATGACTTCCTGTTTGTCATCCTTTTGTTGGTGGTATATAAATAAATGGAGCTACTGTGGTCGGGAGAGACACACTTGAACATAGATCTCCAGCAGAAGCAACCCTTGTCTTGAATACATGACTCTATAGAAGTTAAAACGCGCAATACCATGTGTTAGCGCAATGCTAGTGCGACAAGTTAGGGGCCTTGCATTACATTGTGCACGGTACCGCACACTGTGTGCTGTGTGATATCACAACACGATAGTATGCGTTATGCATAATACCATGTTGCCATGCCATTGTTCTCCTAAACCATAATATTCTGCAGACCAGGCAATTGGAGGATAAGATAAGAAAATCTGGAGCAGTTCTGCATGACAACCAATAGGTTTCTAGCTTTCATTTTTAAAGTCTAATGCAAGAAGTTGATGATAGAAACTGATTGGTTACTGTGCACAGCTGCTCCAGTTTTAGAAAATGCACTCATTCTAACTTACTGAGGTCTAAATCTTCATTATACAAATTGGCTTTCCAGTCAAACCAGACAACCAGAATAATTAGTTGCTGGCACGGGAATCTTGGCTCCTCTTAGGGGAGATGATGGAAGGGAGTTGTATGCATTCCAGCATCCCTGCTTGTCCAGCATTTTCTTCCTTCTGGTGTTCATTATATACTTACTACAAGCACAGCACCATCTAGTGGCTGAAGCTACGGACTACATCTGCTGAAAACCCAATTGCAAGGTTTCATCCATATATTTCTTTGATTCAGAATTGCCTAGACAAGCAGACGTGCTGCGTTTTGCAACTACACTGTGGCCATAGTTCAAGTGAACCCCAAAAACATCATTTTATACATGTAATTACCTTTAGACTTCGAATATTGGCGGAATTAGCATCAGAACGCAGCATGACCTGAACATCCTGTACAGTTTCTTCACCGGCAGGCCGAGGACGGGTGACTTCATCTGCCACTTCTTGAGCAGCTTCTTCCAACTATAATAAAATGAGAACATGATTAACAATTGCTTTGCAGTCATACAATGCCAGTAAGCTACAAAATTTTACTCAGATTACACTATTCACATTTTAAAGGAGAACTATGTTGTGAGTTTTTTTTCACTCAACTTCCAGTTTGAGCCGGCGTGTGACAATGAAACTGTCACACGTCGGCTCAATAGATCTGGAAGTGAGCGAACAGAGAGCCGGGACTGTCACTCACGGCTCCCTGCAGGGAACCCCCTCCCCGATCCTCCAGCGCTGATTGGCGTAATGGACGGGGCAGGTACAGCTGCCTCTGCCTCTAGATAGGCGGAGCCAGCTGTCACTCACGCAGCTGGGTGGATCTCGACAGTAATGTCAGGATCAGTTCCGGCTGCGGCGGTCTCGGTAAACCCCGAGCTGCAGCTCGCGATATACTGAGCTTTGGGTCATGGGAGGATGCTAGTTTATGTCCTCCCGTGACCCTTAGGAGAACTGAGGAAAAACACTTAACCCATTGTTCTCCTTTAAAATGGAATAACTAAATCCAGTCACAACAGAGATACAGAGTAACTAGAAATAACGCACCAATTAGGGCATGTTTGTGTGGGTTATTTAAAGTAATCTCTGATCAATTGCAACCACTTACAATGAGCTCACATGCACATTGTAGGCACATTTGGTGGTGGACACAATCGGCATGGCCACCCTGGACTGGTCTGCAGCCACATGCGCAAAAAACTGTGATGCACTGTGTGTTCAGACACCTTTTTATTGGAACCAGCATTAACTTTTTCAGCAATTTGAGCTCCAGTAGCTCTTCTATTGGATTGGACTTCACGGGCCAGCCTTCACTCCCCCTGTGCATCAGTGAGCCTTGGCTATCTATGACCCTGTTGGAGGCTCACCGGTTTTCCTTCCTTGGATCATTTTTGGTAGGTCCTGAAAACTGCAGACTAGGAACATCCCACAAGAGTTGAAGTTTCCGAGTTGCTCTGACCCAATCTAGTCATCACAATTTGACCCTTGTCAAGGTTGCTCAAATCCTTACGCTTACCCATTTTTCCTCTTCCAACACATCAACTTCATAGATAAAAATGTTCACTTGCTGCCCAATATATCCCACCCACCTCCAGGTGCCATTGTAATGAGAAAATCAATGTTATTCACTTGACCTGTCAGTGGTCATGTTATGGCTGATCTGTGTATATTGCAATATGTTGTGAACGGATTGATACAGATATGTAACATACCAGTTGAAGATGATCTGTGGGCTGCTTGTAGAGGTAATCAGCAAGGTCTTCATCAAAACTAGACAGATCTTCCATCTCCACCTCAATCCAGTACTCCCCCAGATTATAGTGACGCTTGAGTTCATCTCTAAAAACAAAGCCAGTTAATAAGACAATCTAAAGCTCACTACACACATTACAATCTGATGGGTAACTCTAAAGCAGATTGACCAAACACCATGAAGTGCATGTCTGGATACACATTCATTGTATAATTTAGGTAGGTGCTCATCTTACATAGTTTTGGCAAATCTAAGGTCACTTGTACAGTGAGATTGTAATGTATACCATGAATAATATTCAATGTGTACAAAAGGACAGCAGATATCTAAATGGCAAGCATGAGCACGGCAGTCTCACATTCCAGGCCACCATAACATGCCAGTTGCTCCACATTCTGGTAGTTTCTATGAATATATGAAGGCAGCCTACAGCAGCATTAAAAAAATGCTCCTCCATCTCCTATACCCATCCCATATCCAGCACTGTCACCCACAGAATTAACGAGCCATAGATCTACTTTGGGGGTGACTGGCACCCAGTATCATTTAACCCACTTAATTCTTCACTTTGCTTGGACTCACAAGAATGCTGCAGAGAAGAGTGCCACATGGCACAGCTTACAACAGCATGTAGGATCTGCTCACCAGAGGAAGAGGCGTTGTGACAGATCAAAGACAATACATATATCTACTATTCCTAACTAACATGTATCCACGATTATATAAGATGGAAGATTAAGTAGATGCGAGTTTATTTCATGGGTGAAGGTCCACTTTAAGGTGATGCACACAATGACATGCATCTGCTTACAAACATGTAACCAAAGCATGCCTACATGATGTGTATTCTCACCTATATAGAAGTATAAGGGAATTTTATGCTGAAACACAAGGCAAGCTTAGAAACACATGGCAACCTGAATAAAGACATCCCAGCTCTTCCGCACCATGAAAGCGGCAGGTTCTAGAAGTTCAGCATATATATATATATATATAGTACAATGTGATCGTCACTGACCTGTATTTATAGGTAAAGCCGGTGCGGTCAGTGCCATATCGGTACTGCCGGAGAAACTCCTTGAACCTTTTCTTCAGCTGAGACTTCTTGGCTTGCCCATCGTCCCCGACAGGTTGCTCACCCCCGAAGCTGTCACTGTAGAAGATGCCTGCATCGTCAAATCCGGACATGATGGAAACCGATCGCTGCGAAGGACGAGCAAACAACAACACCGGGACTACAAGGGAAAAGCGCGCGAACACTACTTTTCGCGCCAAAGCAGACTGGCGCCACGGCGGAAACACCGCCCACACAACTTCCTATTGGTGAAACATCAATTGCTCGAGTGTCGTAGGCGTGACTTTTCCTCTAGAGGCGGGGTACTAGGACAGCTGGGTCCTCGGTGATTGCTTGAGTAGAATGCGTTGATGGCTGTAAGCGTGGAGCCATTTTGTAGAGGCCTAAATCTTCGAGAAAATGGCGTCAGTCTACTAGAGAATAGCTTACTAAATGTCCCTTTATCATTTCAATAAAAATGCTTAATATTTAAAAGTATATGGGTTTTTTTTTGATATAGTATAGAGTAGTTGTAACTGCTATCAGGTTCTTTTGCCATTTGTTTCTCAGGGAGATTTCCCTTCACCTCCTGTCCTTCACACTCAACAGGAAATCAGAGAATATCTTTCCAAGAAATATTCCCTTTTACACAGTTGTCATACAGAGGGACACATGTCCCCAGTGGAAGAGTTCTTTATTTTGGTGGCTCCAAAGTTTGTTTTTACCGTCTCTTTTATTCCTGGTGACATTGATGATCAGGACAGTTAGAGAAAAGGAATCATTCTAATGGATCTCTACCAGAGAGCTTTGCCGGTGGTGCCACCAAGGACCGGTTACAACAGAGATCCGCGAGCGTAAACGGACATGGAGTGGACATACTTTACGAAAGGTTGCAAATGAAAGGGTTGCCACCTGTCCGTGATTCACCCAGACAGTCCAGGTTCTGAGTCCTGTGTCCAGGTTTCAGGTCAGCTGAAACCCAGACACAAGATGTCACCATGTCAGGTAGACAGGGGCAACCACGTGGGGTCCTGGTGTTCCAAGTTGAGTGCATGGAGGGTGCCCGGGACATGGAGGGATGCTGGAACTCAGGGAGCAGGAAGGTGTCTGAAACACAGAGTCTTGAAGTGCACAGGGATGCTTCAGGCAGATGTGTTGCTCGAACACAAAGCTACGTGTCACTTAGCCCTTTAAGGCAGCGCGTATTAGTTAGCTGACTGGCTCCATCACCTGGAAATGCCGGTGTCTGCGAGCTTCCGAGAACAAGCACTGGGAGAAGATGAGTGTAACACGTGGGGAGGGGGGCACTGTGAATTCTATGAGTGATAAAGAATATCTGGAAGTGTTATACTTGCACTTATTATATTTAATGCATTCAGCAATCATCGAAATTTGTAATTGTTTTCTTAGGTGAAGGATGACCTCCTCCTACTGAGAGCTGGAGTTTTTTTTGGCTGTGTTCACTTTCTACAGCCTATCTGAAGAGGAATCTCCCTTCAACCTAGTTGCACCTAAGAGGCTGTGAACTTACAGCTTCCATATTGGTACCCCTTGGCAAGCCTCGGGGACCATACTCACACCCCATCATGTGGAAAACATAGGGCTGACCTGTAATATTTCTTAGGTGCTGGACTCTGTGTTAGGCACTTACCCTTGGTACAACAGTACAGCGAGTATTACGAACCTGGTCTGGGAGACTGGATGGTTGAGGAGGCTTCCCTTGCACCTCGTGTCTAAAAGCCCTTTGAGGAGGGCTCCAATGTTTGATTCGTCCGTTCGGTTTGGCCGTTGGTTTGGGGATGTTAGGCCGAAGAGTACAGAGGCTCGATTCCCAGGGAGGAACACAATTCCCTCCAGAATTTCGAGGTGAACTGGACCCCTCTATCAGAGACAATGTTGTCCGGAACTCCATGGAGACGGACAATCTCACGGATGAAAGTGCGGGCAGTTTCAGGAGCTGTGGGGGTACCCACCATGGGTACAAAATGGGCCATTTTAGTAAAACGATCCACCACAACGAAGATGGATGTGAAGGCATCAGAAGGGGGAAGATCGACTATGAAGTCCATGCTGAGCATCTCCCATGGACGGGATGGAATGGGAAGCGGTTGCAGCAACCCCCAGGGTTTTGTTCGCTCGGTTTTACTCCTGGCACAGATGGTACAAGACTTTACATAGGAGTGGCAATCCTGTCTCAGGGTAGTTTTTTTGAGTATTGGAGGGCCACCACAGAGCCCCTCCTTCCTTTTCAAAGTTTGTTCACAGCTTGAATTAATATCACGATTTAAATTTTAGTTTTCTGTGTTGTTTTACTACACCGCTAGCCAGAGGTTCACGTGTTTAAAATATACATGCCGAACCAATGAGGTTGATCACTGGCACTAATTCTGAAGGTTCCAGTGTTGATTTTTATTATTCTTATTATGTTTGTGTGTTGAACCTTCTAGTCATATGTAAATAATCCACTTGCATCAATTTTTCACACGGATTGTTGTAATTTTACACAGATTTGTTTATTAACACTTTAGTGTGCAGTTGGTTCACATAGACCGAGCGCAACATATTTGCTTTACATTAATCCAGCAAGTAAGTGACAGGCTGGCTTGGTTTAAATAGGTAAGTGAACTAATCAATTATATCAATTCCTGTGCGCCCTTGGCACATTTTTTCTTAGAACACGCTCCATCTGCGCATCAGAAACCATTGCAGTATTGGTGGATGTGGTGTGCACATGTTTGAATTTGGCAGAGCCTCTTACTACGGAGTTCACCAGTATGAGTTTGCAGAAGGAAAATAAGAAACCTAGAAGGGTTGTTGCAGCTCCACCCCCTGGTATATCATGTTTTGTGCAAGGACTGGCTGTGTGCGGACAATGTGTACACACCTTCTAAGAGATTTGCTCAGCAAAACTCTATTGAGGAAGCTTCCCACAAAACGTGGAAGATTCTGGTGGTGGATCCAGCTATTTCTTGCATTAACAAGTCCCTGACGGTCTAGGTTAAGGACATTTTGGCCTTTGAAGACCCTGTGGACAAGTGGTTAGAGGGTCTGCTTAGGGCTTCCTTTACTCTTATGAGTGCAGCCATGCAGCCAACTGTGGTCTCCATAACTGTTTGCCATCCCCTTGCGATTTGGACCAATGCATGTTGTGTGGCACTGGGTCAATCCTTATGGATCCATTAGTCCTCTAAAAGCTCTAGCTCCTTCTGGCTGCCTTACGCTACTACCTAGATGGCTTAAAAGAGAACTCCATGAATTTTTTTAATTAACCCTTGCTGTGGGGCTACCCCAGCACTGCAAGAGTTAAGTGCTGGTTTGTGTCTAGGCTCAAAAAATAAAAATGTTATACTCACCCGATGCTCCGAGCCGGCTTCTTCTTAGACCGGTCCTTCCAATGTCTCTCCCCTTCCTCTGCCGCCGTCTAAGGTCCCATAAATATTACATCTATACACAGTGTATAGACTTGAGGACACTGAGGATGATTATTTTAATGCTGCAGTGGAGGGGGAGACAGGCTGGAAGGAGCGCTGTGACAGCTGGCTGGCTCTGAGCTTCCGGTGAGTATATATTTGTTATTTTAGCACCTAGACACAAACGAGCACTTAACCCTTGCAGTGCCGAGGTAGCCCCACAGCAAGGGTTAATAAAAACATTTTACCTGGTGTTCTTCTTTAACAGATTCTCTGCACCAAGGTCTCACCTGGTGCTTATGCCAGTACAAATGCGCTGGATTGTGGCTACAATGACTCATTGGTTAGTCTTTGGAGTTTAGTTGACAAGTTTAGTGTTTTGTTGTCTATTTTTTTCCTGAAGAATTCTCTATATGCCACTAGATGGCGGCTTTACACAGAGCAAAACATTTCCCATTTTTTGGAATTGCTGAAGTAGCTATAAACTGCAATCCTTGTTTAAAATAAAACACTGGAGCGAAGGATGGTGGTGTATGTGCAGATCTGTAATCCATCCTGATGAATTAGACATTTTCCCTGTGTTCATATTTACAGGTATTGCCATGAATCCAAAAATGATTTATTTTCCCCCATTCAACTTGTGTGAATTTGCTGATGATAAAAGTGTTTGCATAAAAAAATATGTCTAAATATTTTTCTGTAGGGACAGGAGAACAATTCTTAAATGTATGGATATATACACATAGTAATTATTAGAAGATAATTGTTTATCACAGCAGTGGCGGTCCTAGGCAACAAAGGGCCCTGGTGCAAGATTTTTTTTCGGGCCCCCCGACCGCCCCCCCCCCGCCCAAAAAACACAAACCCCCCAACCCACATCCCCTGTAGCAACCACACACACAAAAAAAAATGGAAAAATAGCATTGCGGTATAAAGTACTGCTGAGATTTGTAGTCCTCTGTAGAGGGTCCCATTCTGCATTGCTGCAATGCAGAATGGGACCGACCTGCTATATAGCACTACAAATACCAGCAGTACTTTTTACAGCATGTCCATCAGTTGGGCTACAAAAAATAATGATTTTATTTAATAACTTACCTTCACCTCTTCTGGCTGTTTTCTGGTGGGGCAGGCTGCAGAAAAACACACCAGTGTGTGTGTGTGTCCATCTCAGACAGCGCACCCCCATCTCTGCCCTGGGGCTGTGTTAGATCAGATACTGGGCCCCCCTTTAGGCTCAGGCCCCGGGGCGGCCGCACTGGCTGCACCTGTATCACAGTTATCTTATGCATGGGCACAGCAATGTGAACTTTATGTGATCTGCAATTCAAGTGGGGTGTATGGTAATGTGAACCATTTCAAAATCGGTTAGTAAGTAGATTTGCAGTTATGCATGTTCTAATGCCACCCCATGCACTGGCAGAGCTGAGGAAGCCACAGAGTGAGACACTATTCCTTCAATTTCACTTCCCAAGCAGAATCTCATGGAAGGCTTTACTGATGGGTACAACAACATGGCAAGTAAATTCCTAGGGGAACCGAGTACCCCAAGCTCCTTTCACAAGAAATCACTATTTTGGCCAACATAGCTGCCATAGAAAAGACTAAATAGGAGTGACATCATGCCTCACTGAATGAAGATTTCTTAAGCACATCTTTTGTGTAAATCTGTTGTCAAAGTGTCTTATCTGGAAACACTTCCTGTTGCAGATTGCCAATGTTAAGCCCTGCAATTAGCAGCAGCATTGTCAGCACTTTTTTAGTTGGGTGTTGGGCTGGCTATCAAAAAGGCAGCCCAAGGGCCAAATAAGGTCTTGTTCACATGCTATTCAATGCGTTCCAGCATGGTTAGTG